GGCCACTGGGAAGGGACGAGGTGGCCACGTGCTGAGGCCTGGCCGCACTCAGCGCACGTCCCGCCGGGGATCCCGGCCGTGCTGAGGGCTCCAAGCCGACCCGCTGCGGCTCTTCCCGCGGTGCAGAGCATCATTAGCAGATTAATTATTAATTATTATTAACAAGGTTTAATGGCTGCATCCGCCGCCAGCAGCTGCTTTCAGGCACCATCAGGCGTGGGAGCTGTGGCTGGGGCGGGCGCCGGGCAGGACGCTGCCCCAAAACCCCTTTTAGCCATTTTTCCCCCCTCTTCCTATTGTACAGGAGGGAAAAGCTGGATCTCTGGATGCCTCATCGCCCCTGCTCTTCCTGCTCCTCTTGCAAATCCCCATCCCTGTGCGCTCTCCGGCCCCAGCTTTGCTTGGGAGAGACGGGATTGGAGACAGGGCCGGAATGGGCAGATACAGCCCGAAAACCGGAAGGTTCCCTGTTGGTTTTCCTTCCCTGCCGATAAAACCATTGGCTCCAATTTGGTTGCGGGAACCGTCCAAGTGGTTGTGAGGGATGTCGGAAAAAATTGCAAATGGCTAGCGGGTAATTTGCTGTGTGTGGAGGAGCAGCAGTGCTCCTGGTGGATCGGGGATGGGAGCAGAGAGGACCCTTTGCTATGCCCAGAGCAGGAAGAGCTTTCCAGTAAGGATACGATGTGGGATCACCCTATTCCCTGTCAGGGGAGGAGGAGGAGAGTGGAGGACGGCAGCGCTGCGGTGAGGCCAGGATCCCGGGAAGCATCGGCTGTCAAGCACTTGGGGCCAGGGAAGCTTTGAAAGATTAATGGGATTTAAAAAGAAGTGCCAAGAGCAGGAGATGAGACTGCTCTGATAGGAAGCGGCGCGGGATGGTGGGAAGCATGGAGCCCTCAAACCCCACTTGCTGTTCGGGGTTTAACTGCGGCCCCGGGATGGCCGGGAACGCCAGGGCTCCAGCGGCGCCGCGGATGCGGGGGATAAAGCGGGCAGAAGCGCCTCTTTCCCGGCCCGTCTCTCAACACGGGGATGTGCGGCACTAATCCACTGCAAAGCGCCTAATCTGTGGGATGAAGGGCCAGATCAGAGCAGTGGCGCGGCGCGCGGCAAGGTGGCCGCGGCCGATAAGGGGCCAGGACCAGTGCTGGAGCCA